CCCCACCTTGGAGGGCTATCATGAGGATGAAATGAGAGAGAAGTGTTCCTGGCACATGGGAGGTACTCAGACAATGTCATCTGTGGGTGATGTCATTGTCACTATTGTTGCCTGGACTTCAGGATGTTGGGCCTTATCACTAAGGGCCCCTCCCACTTGGACGGTGTGTGACTGCTATTGTCTCCCTGGCCTCCCTGATGTTGGCAGGTTCAGGACAGACAATAGGGCCCCTGTTGCCCAGGACACAGAGCCCTTCAGTCACACAAAGGCCCTCACAGCAAGGGACAGTGGGTATCTCAGGAAAAGGCATTACCCACCTTCAGGGCATAAACAGGCATGGGAACAGCCGGGGAGGGCAGCCAGGAAGGAGTTTTCCTGTCTACAAGATGGGCTAGGCTACGAAGGACACGAGGGGACAGGACAAGACCCTGCACGAGACGCTTACACAGGGTCGGCAAACACTGGCTGTGCAGTTGCTGTGTGCCAGGCTTCGCGTGGCAGCTTCCACATACACCCCCGACTCCCAGACACACTTCGCCATCTGTTCCCCACGCATCATCCCACCATTTTCCTAAATCCTACCGGTTCTGAGGTTTCAACCATCTCTGACCAGGAGGATGAGAAAGTCAATCTCCACCTTGTCTGGGGCAGGTCCCTTCTGGCTCCCTAGGGCCGTGCAAGGATCTGAGGGGAAGGGAGGTTTCGAGGAGCCCGGAAGATGAGGCAGGGCCTCTCTCTGGTCTCTGGTCCCATCTGGTCCCAATGATGGGATCTCTGTGCCACCCACGATCCTGTCCAAGGGCAGCGCTCCAACGCCCAGCCTGAGGCACTTCTCCAAAACAGCCATGGCTCCCAGGTTCCAGCCATGCATGACCTCTTTCTGGAGGAGCGGCTTCCTGGAGGTTGATGGATAAATAACCCATTTCCTTACCCCCTGGGAGGGGCAGGGGGCAACGCCAATGCCGCACAGCACCGCACAGGACAAGCCCAGGTGCCCAAAGGGGTCACTTGCTCGCGAACACACCTTTCTGGGCCAGCTCCTTCTCCACCTCTCTTTCTCCCTCTATTGGCAACTCCCAGAATCACCTCTCAAATCAGCGCCTGCACTCAAATCTGGCTCTCAGGGTCGGCTTCTGGGGAACCCAAACCAAGATAAGCGTTTGTTCTGCAGGTATCATGCTGAAGGTCTCTTCCCCATGGCCTCTGGCAGCCCCACTTGACAAATGAAGAGTCTGAGACTCTGAGCACACACCATGACTACCAAGCAGCCCCTAACCATTACCCCACACTGGCCCCCTCCACTCTGTGCCTTCATCTCCGCCTTCCCCCCAGCCTACAATCTCTACTTTCCATAAAGAAGGATGAGGGTGGTCTTCTGTCCCAGCCTCCTTCTGTTTGGGGTCCCAAAACAAAACTGCCCTCTGACACCGCTGAGGCAGGAACCCCAGACCTGGAGCTCCAAGACTCCACCGCCTTCCTGGGTTGGGCGAGTGAACACTGCCTCCTTCAGAGTTTTAGCTGCAGCAGCAAATGAAAAACACCAAGGGATTCCTCAGTAAATTACTCTGCCTCGCAGGAAGTGTTACTGCCTTTGTTTTACAGATGAGAAAACAGGTAATAGCCAGTGAGTTGCTGGGAACCCAAGCCTCCCACCTGAATCACGTCAGGATAGTGACCCACTTTTTTTATTCTTCAAAATAGCAGTGACAGCTAAACAGCTTCTGGTCCGTGGGGACCACTCAGTCGCCAGACAGGGTGAAGCACTTCCTGTGAGATTAACATTCCCATTTTACAGATCAATAAACTGAGGCTCAAAGACAGACAAGAAGTCCTTTCCAGGGCTTCCTTTCATGAAGGAGACCCCCAGAAAATTCCCCATCTCACAGCAGAGATTAGTCAATGAGGGGAACAGACAGAATCCATAGGGCTCCAGTCAAATTCTTCCCTCCTGTCTGGTTTAGAGAGGCCACATTTGGAAAGGAAAGGGAGATCTCTATGCCTCTGCCAATGTCCTGCTCCAGTCCCCAGTGACTCAGATGAGGAAGTTAACCCCAGAGCCTTTCTGTGCTCCAGACAGGAGGAAGAGGACAGCACCTGGCAGTAATGCTGAGACCCTATCAACAGATACGAGCAGGACCCACCAACTTTTAGAGCATCTTCCAACCAAAAAGTCCATGATTTTATGACTCTGAGATTCTAGAATAAGTACATCCCATCAAAAATATGCTACTGGATCATACTAACATAAGCCATTTGCTTTTGACATTAACCAGGGTGAGAACTCCAGAACTAGCTAACATTGAACATCGACCTTGCACTTCCTGGGCAGCTGCTGGCTCCCAGAACCCACTCTCCCACCATTAGCCCCTCTGCCCTGCGTGTCCAGCTTAACACCTACCCTGACCATGCCTCTGAGTTGTGAATGGGAAAATAATTATTCATGGGGAGAATCCTCAGAAAATCTAAAAGCCACCTAGAGATGAATGCAAGCGCAAGTGTCGTTCACATGACCATGGGCAGCAGTTAATGGAGTCCATGCTGACACTACCAGCTGTATATACTCACAATGGTGGCACCAGGATTCCCAGAAAGGGAAATTCCCCCAAAAGGACCTCTGCCCACCAAATTTCCCTTTTGATGGGCAGCCAGTCCCCTCTGGGCCCTGATTTCAAATCCCACTTTTGCCACAGTGGACATGCTGTGTGACCCTGAGGAAGTCATCCAACCTCTGGAAGCCTCAGTTCTTTTCTCTGTAAAACGGAAATTAAAACAAGTGACTTTGTTGAACCCTTCCTATGGATCGGGCCTTGTGCTGACATCTGTATGAGCTACTTCACAATCTTCACAAATACTGAAAAGACCTAGATGGATAGATTTATTATTTATTTATATTCCCATTTTTTTCAGACATGAAAAGCGAGGCTCAGAAGAAACAGTAACTTGCCCACAGTTACACAGCTACTGAGTGACAGTGGGGATTTGAACCCAGGCCCGTGTGGCCGCAGAGGCTTGGCACAGAAAACATGTATGGAAAGGGCTGGCTCTACCGATCTCCTGCTGTTCTCCGCACACCCCAGAGAGCTCTCCTACTCACTCAGTTCTGTAGCCACATCCTGTACTGGGAGCCTCCTCAGGCTCCTCCCAAGAGCTGAAGGCTCTGCAAGGCTCTGATGTCATTCCTGAGGGGAAGGACCCACCCCCAAACCACAGAGCCCTGTCCCCTTCCCCCCTGAGGTCTGCTGGCCCTGGACCCAGTGCCTGCACCATCAGGCCTCACTGCTGAGCCCTATGAGTTTTGGCCAGGATTCCCTTGCCATCTGGTGCCAGGAGGACCCCTTTCTCCACAGAAGATCTCCTCTGAGCAGAAGCCCTTGCCCCACCCACCAGGCTTCAGAGCTCAGGTTATAAAAGCTGTGCCTTTCTGGGAGGCTGGAGACAGAGGCCAGGGAGATTGCGGGCTGTCCTGTCATTGGAGAGGTAAGGACAAGGAAGACACTTCTCAAATGTTTCTGGAGCACCTACAATAATGCGCAGTGGTGCACAGATCTCAGTGGTTCGAATCCACGCTCTGCCATCCGTGTGACCTCGGGTGACTCACTCATTTTTCATCTCTGAGCCTCAGTTTTGTCATCTGTAAATTGGACTTGCTATCAGTGATCCCAGACCAATGTGGTGAGGACTCAGTGATGTGATGAAGCCTTACAAAGTCCTTGGCATGGTGCCTGCCCCATGGTAACAACTCAGGTAGAAGGTGGGGCTGGTAAGGATGATTTAACGCAAGAGCTGGAGAGAGCTGGAAGATAGCGTAATGTGTGAAGGGCAGGAAGGGAGGAGAGACCCGACTTGAGTGAACTGATCGAGAAAAGTGCCCATGTAGAGGCTGACTAAACTCTGGTGGGCTGAAGAGCGTGGGGATTTCACATCAGCCTGGAAGCAAAATACGAATAGTTAATGCCGTGAGTACAAATTTTCCAGTCCAAAACCCGCATATGCGAGTGAACGAATATGTTTTTTATTACCCGGTGTAATCACTGTTTGGAGCTCCTATGCCACCAAGTGACAAAAAACTGAATGTTGCTAATTCAAGGCATCGCCAGGATTTTCTCAGGTACTTGAGACCAGGCTCAGTGCCTGTGGGGGCCTCCTGTCCTTGCACAGGGACAGCGTTTACCCTCTGGGTGACTCCTTCATGGGCGCGGCATTGCAGGGTGTGGTGCGGGCTCCTCGGGCCCTGCTTACACTGGAGATGTCCACATCACAGCCAGTCCCTGCCTGGAAGTCCCATAGGCCACATCTCCTGGGGTCAAACCCTTGCCCACCCAGAGGGCCCCTGCCTGCCAGGGAGGCCACCTGGGCAGGGCTGAAGTTCAGCTGATCAGAACCTGTTACAAACACACTGGTTGAAATGCTGAAATATTTCCCTACTAGCTGGTGAAAAGCTGTGGCTTCAAGCCACTTCCCCCCGCTGCCCACCCCACCTGGTATAACATCTCCCTCAGGACCCTCATCCCCTGTCCTGCCTCAAGATCCAGAAATCTCCATGGTTCAAAGGGAGCTCTACATCTTCTAACATCTCACAATCTCGCCTGGCCTCATGAAAAGCTGTTGAGCACACTGCTTGCCAAGTGCTTCGCACATATGGTTGAATGTATACCTCACAACAACTTATGTTTATCCCCATTCCACAGGTGAAAACACTGAGGCACAGAGAGGTCCAGTAAGTTGCTCAGGGTCACACAGTCAGGAAGCAGCAGAGCCTGGATTTGAAGGCAGTCCACATAATGGGCAAGGGCACTCCAGGAAGAAGGAAACAAAAGCTCTAGTGTGAGGTGGTGAGAAGCACAGGCTGTGTTCAAGGACTAGTGGATCTGCAGCAAAGGGGAAAGGCAAGGAAAGGGAAGCTGGAGAGAGGTTTCAGGGGACACAGGGCTGTGAGACCCTAGACATGGAGGTGGCCACTGGGGTTTCCAGCTCTCTGTCCACAGGTCCTGACTGGGAGGATGCTGCTGTTCTGGGGGTCCCTGCTATGCTGGGGGCTGCTGCCTCAGACTCAAGGGGAAGCCCGGCATCAGATCTTCCTGCGAATCAGCAAGGATCAGCTGGAAACAGGTAAAAAATAAGGGGTGGGCTTCGGGAGGCAAGATTGCAGGGAAGGACAGGGGTGGGAGACAGCAGCAGAATTTGCCTGCCTTCACCCAGACCTGACCGCATCCTTCCCCTGCTCTAACACTTGCTGTGGCTCCCTAGTACCTCAGATGCTCCAAGCTCTTCATCTTGGCATTCAAGACTCTGCATCCCCAGCCTCACCTGTCCTGACCACCCCCATAGACTTCCCAGCCTCCTTCCCTTCTTGGGCTATTTCTTCTGTCTACAATTCTCTTTCCCTCCTTCTCAGCATGCTGAATTCTGACCTATCCTTTAAGGCAAAAGCTCTAACAGTCCCTCTGATGAGAATCCCCCCTAGTTTCCCCCAGGCAGAAGGAGTCTCTTTCCTCTGGGCTCCCATACCCCTTTGAGGAAGCCTCATCTATGGCATTATTCTGATGTATGATACTTATCCTGTCTATGTGTCTGTCTCTCTCCCTTTTGACCATGAGCTCCTTATTGCCCACCTACCTCCTCCCCAATTCACTGCAGTCTAACCTCACCCATCTTTTGGTTTCATAAATTCACCAGACTCCTTACCACCTCAGGGCCTTTGTACAAGCTGTTCCCTCTGCCTACATTGCTCTCCTCCTTGACCTTGCAATAAAGGATTCCTTCACTTTATTTAGGTCTCAGCTCAAATGCACCCTCCTCAAGGAGGTTTTCCCTGATCAGTCTTTCTAAAGTAGACCTACACCCCAGTCATGCTCCAACTCAGTTTCATTTTTCTTTTCTTTGTAGCACTTACTTTCAAATATTGCCTTGTTTGCTTATCTGAGTGCTTGGCTGTTGTCTGTCTCTCCCACTAGAATGTATACTCCAGGGGGCAGAAGGCACACCGCTCCTGTTCCCTGAGCCCAGAAGAGAGTGCACACTTAATAAGTACTTGCTGCTAGGGGTGCCTGGCTGGCTCAGTCGGTGGAGTGTACAACTCTTGATCTTGGGGTCGTGAGATCAAGCCCCACGTTGGGTATAGTGGTTACTTAAAAAATTTTTAAATCTTTAAAAAAAAAAAGTAAGCACTTGCTGCTAAATGACCATGTAAAAAAATTTTAATGCTTATTTATTTTGAAAGAGAGAGAGACACACACAGAGTGTGAGTGGGGGAGGGACAGAGAGAGACAGAGAGACAGAGTCCAAAGCAGGCTCCAGGCTCTGAGCCGTCAGATCCAGATGTGGGGCTTGAACTCATGAACCGTGAAATCATGACCTGAGCCAAAGTCAGATGCTCAAACGACTGAGCTGCCCAGGGGCCCCATTTTTTATAAATTTTTTTTTTTTAATGTGTGTTTGAGAGAGAAAGACAGACAGAGTGCAAGTGGGGAAGGGCTAAATGACCATCTAAATCGCTGACTCTGAGCAGGTGCTAGTGGGCATTTGCTGAATGACTGAATGAAGGGTGAGCCCCACCTTGAGGAGTCCCATCTCGTGTCCTCAGACATTTCAGACCTGTTCTCGGAGCACCACATCCTGGACCGCATGGCCGGGATTCCTGTGACGGGGGCCGCAGGTGAAGGCGTCACCATCCTGGACCACCTGCCCTTCGTAAGAGAAGGCCTTTCCAAGAAGAGCAGTGGGCTCGATCTGTCACTGGTGGGGGACCTGCTCTCAGGGAGGAGACTCCCACTGCTGGGGAAGCTGCTCCAGGTGGGCGGGTGAGTCCACCGAGGCCGCCTCTGGCCTTTCTTCCCCCTCAGCCTCCTCCCCGAGCCATGATGTTCTCCCGTGTCAAGAGGAGCACTGGTCGGGTGGGAGGCCCGGACGTCCTCGGAAGTTCTCTATAGCCTGGAAAGTGCCAGCAAGTGCACCTTTATTTTCTAAGTCTCTCCAAGCTACCTAAAATCATCCAAAGCAGGGTCAGCCTGGCAGCCCTCCAGACCTCCACATTCAGCCTACACCTGCATATTGCAAACTTGCATATGCAGGGTTTTTTTTTTAAATATCTTAACTTTAAAAAGTTAAAAATGTTGTAATGAATTGCCAATATTTAAAAATCAAAAGGGCTTTAATCAAATCAAGGTTTTCCAACTGTATGGTTTATTAGGGCTGCTGTAACAAAGGATGACAAGATGTGGCTTAAACAACAGGAATTTGTTGTGCCACAGTTCTGGAGGCTGGAAGTCCAAGATCAAGGTGTGGACATAGCTGCTTCCTTCTAAGGACTGTGAGGGTCTCTTTTCCATGCCTCTCTCCTAGTCTGCCGTTGTTCACTGCCCATTCCAGTGGGCAGCAGATGAGTCACTAACTTGTATCTAATGTTTAAAAAGTACTCTGGGTCTCTCTCAGCTCAGGGAGATGCTGGGACTTGACGTCACAGAGGGGAGAAGGCTCACATTCTCCCTCCCTCCTGCTCAGCAGGGTAGATGGTCCCTTGGTGGATGGTGGGGGGCCATCTGCCATATTGCTTTCTCTGAGTCTTGACTGCTTGCTTCCCCTTTGCAGAATGCTCACTGCACACAGATGCACATAGACAGTGTCTCTGCTGCATTTTGTAGTCAGGCCCAGAGAAGGGAAGGGACTCACCCAGGTCCTCAAGGCTTGGAGGCTGGAACTACTGGGCTGGGCTTGGGATCAGGGACAGGATTGCCCAAAGCTGCTCCTACTCCTCCTGGGGTCTGCCTCCATTCCAGCCAACCCAGATACACACACTCTACAGAACCACAGCGGCCTTACCAGGCCACACCAACACTCCCACACCTCTCACAGGTTGGTCATAGAAGACGCCATAGGGCCTGAGGTCACCCTGCAAATCCTGAGTGACAGCCTGCTGCAGGTCACACTGCGAACCAAACTATACCTCTCGCTCCAGCAGTAAGTACAACGGGCCCCTCCTCCAAATGCCCTCAGTGCCAGGAGGGCCAACCCCTCATTGCTATGACTCAAGAGGCGGCCGCCCAGGGCTAGCAAAGCCTCCTACCTATGTCGCCATAAGCCTCATAATAATCCTTTCCACTTGGGCTTGTTTCAAAGCCATTTTTATTGATGGGGAAACTGAGGCACAGAGTGAGAGTGGGACCCGCCCAGGATCACACAGTGAGTCAGAAGCAGAGACTGAAATAAAACCCTAGGACTCCCATGTCAGGGAAGATGTGTTCCATCTGAGTAAAAGGCAGATGCATTAACAGGCTGATCTGAGGACGGTCTGGTTCCAGCCCCTCCCCACCCCCGCCCCCAGAGTACAACAAAACTGGGCTCCACTCCTATTTACCATCTAAGCAAACTGAGCAAGGGCATCTATTCCCTGGGCCTCAGTTTCCTCATCTACAACATGGGTATGATCAAGTATGCTCCTACACGTGGCTGTTATGAGAGTTCACTGCCGGCCTGAGAGCTTGGATATCTCACTAAGATGTGGGTGATCATGCTCACCTGGGGCTGCAGACAGTGGGTAGCAGAGGGAGTGCTGGGGCCGGTATCTGTACAAGAAACAAATATTCCTGGTTTTTTTCAGAGAGAGAGAGTGTGCAGGAGAGGGGAAGAGAGGCAGAGCAAGCGAGGGGACGGGGGGGGAGGGAGAGAGAGGGAGAGAGACAGAGAATCTTAAGCAGGCTCCAGGCTCCAGACATGGGGCTTGATCCCACAACCCTGGGATCATGACCTGAGCCAAAATCTAGAATCAGATGCTCAACAGACTCAGCCACCCAGGCACCCTGAAACAAATATTCTTAAAAGCCTTTAGGGGGGCGCCTGGGTGGCTTAGTCGGTTAAGCGTCCGACTTTCGCTTAGGTCATGATCTCGCGGTTCGTGGGTTCGAGCCCCGCGTCGGGCCCTGTGCTGACTGCCAGCTCAGAGCCTGGAGCCTGTTTCAGTCTGTGACTCCCTCTCTCTCTGACCCTCCCCTGCTCACGCTGTCTCTCTCTCTCTCCTAGAAATAAATAAAACATTTAAAAAAAAATTAAAAAAAAAAAGCCTTTAGGAATATGTCCACTGTTGGTTTTCTTTTAAAATATGGCCTTCTTGGTCTACCTTCCCTTAACAGAGAAGTGGGCACAGAGAAATCTTTCTCTCCTATACGATAACCGTATCATGACCCTTGTAGTGATGAGCAATAAAAACACAACCTAACCCTTGGCCTCATGGGGACTGGGGCACCTGGAGCACCTGTGGCCCATGTCAAGGTCACCTTCAGCCCCAGGCGACTGCCCCACTGTGAGGACGCTGGCCAGTGTTTTCAGATCTTTCAGGTTTCCCAGAGTGTGAGATCCACGTTTAGTGACGTCTCCTAGTTTTTCATTTGAGCCCCGCAGGTGGCAGCAGGCCACCAGCCTGTGACTTCTGGGTGCCACCTGGGGCTGTGGCTTGGCGCCTGCCTGGACACGCTGCCCCTACAGGATACTGCGGCTCAAAGTCATCAAGAACATCCGCATTGGGATACGGCTGGAACAGACCGGGAACAAGACCAAGGTGGCTTTCGAGGAGTGCCACACCCCACCGGGATATCTCAGCATCAGGGTTCTGGAGCAGTGAGTACCTGCCCACACCTGCACTCCCACTGGCCAGGAGGGGGGCCAGGACTTGCCACCCTGTGCCTGCTGCCCAGCCCTTCTGGGAGACTCACTGCAGGGCCTGCTGTTCCCCAGCCTAGTTCTCTGAGTGACCAAGGGCATCAGGGACAGGGGCATCTGCGAGGCTCCAAGCTGCACCCACCCTCCATCAGCCATTTCCTCTCTCCACACTGAAGGTCATGGCTGAGAGTGGACATCCAGCCAGGTCAAATCTCAGCTTGGCTGCTTCCTAACTCAGAGACCCTGAACAAGCTATATGGCTTCTAAGGCCTGTTTCCTCACCAATAAGATGAAATTGCCCACAGAATCCAGCCAGCATGGGGTGGGTGTGGGGGAAAGATGAACTGATCTATGCGCTGAGGTACCCTTAGCACAAAACCACCTCCTCCAGGAAGTTTTCCATGACTCTCCCTCCTTGAAAATCCTACAGTCCTTTATCAGAGAGGAAATAAAGAGACAGAGGCAGAGAGGAACAATCAGGAAAAACTAAAGATGAGGAAGTCATGGAGAGAGGAAGCAAGAAGGCAAGAAAGGGGTAAAACAGAAGAAGAAAGGGTGGGGATGGGGGAGCAGAAGAGAGACACCAGGTGGGGAAGTAAGCAGCCACCCTAGAGTTTCCATGTTACACCAGCCCATCAGCCCTGTCCTGGCTTCCCGCCTCTGGCCTCAGTCTCCCCTTCCATGGTGTCTCAGATCCCACCCGCTCTCCCCCACCACTAGAATGGACCCCCTCCTGGCGAACGAAGCTCTGGCGTGGGTGACAAGTGTCCTGGATAAGGCACTACCCTTCGTCCTACAGAAGATAGTAAGTTTTCATCCTCCTCTGCCTCCTGGGAGAGGGGTGTGACCCCAAGAGAGAGCCCAAGGACCCCATCGTGCCTTCCCTACAGGTGTGCCCCCTGGCCACAACCCTGCTCAATTCCCTGCTGGAAGACCTGCTGCACCTTGCTCTGCGTACGTAGCTCCTGGCCAAGAAAGCTCAGCTTACCTCCCATCCCCCTACTCCTGTGTCAGGAGCTGTTCTGGGCTCTGAGAACATGACAGCAAACAAAACAAAGCCTGGCTGCAGGCAGCCTACCCTTCAGTGGGGGAGAAAAAAGGCACCGTGTCTTATGACCTTGGAGAGTCATTTCCCCCAGAGCCTCAGTTTCCCAATCTGTAAAGTGGGACTAATCCTGGACCCACAGAGTGGACTGACCCGGCACAAAGTTAACTGCCCAATAAATGTTCATTGTTACAAGACGCACAGACCTAGCCCGCAAGGAACTTTAAGCTAAGCAGAAAAGAAGAACAAATTTTTTCCTCCTCCACTGCCTCTCCACACCCTCTCACCCTCCCCCCGGGGCAAGCAGAGTCCTGCTGTCATTCTCTCATTGCAGCCCCGACCATCTCAGGCCCAGAAGACTTCCAGTACTACGTCATCACCACGGAGTTCACGGAGGAGGCCATCCTGATGGAAGTCCAGGTGAGCCAGCACCCTAGCTAGGGCAGACCCTCCGGGAACACCCACTGGCCTGGGGGAGGATGGGCAAAGAGGAAAATGAGGGGGGCTTCTCTGGATGGGAGGCATACAGAAGCAGCAGGTGAAAGGAGATGGAGACGAAAGAGGAAGATAGGGACGGAGGGAGAAGGAAGGGGAGAGTTGCTGGGCCCCTGTCCTCAGGAGCTGATGCTGAGCCCAGAGAGGCTCACTTGAACCCTGGAGAGCAAGAGAGGCCACAGGGCTGCATGTGCTGTGAGCGGGGATCAGACTCCAACAGAAGGGTAAGTGGGACAGTTCAGGGGCGCAGAACGATGTGCAGCACCCAGCTGGAAGGGACCCCACAGATGGGGAAACTGAGGTCCAGAGCAGGGGTGAGACTGGCTGCCCAAATCCCATTCACCGCTCCTTTCTCGTCCCCATGGGACAGTCAAGGGGACTGTTCCTATCAGGTGGGATAGGAAGGGTCTGAGTGGATAGGAAGGAGGTGCCGTTAACAAAGGCACAGGAAGGGAATGGGTGCAGAAGAGGGAGAAGCAAAGAAAACGGGCTCGTGTGTTCAAAATGTAGCTCTGCCTCTTACCCTCTGTAGGACCTTGAGTAAGTCACTTCACCCCTCTGGGCTTCAGTTTCCTCACCTGTCAAATGGGGACAGCAATAGTTCCCATCTCACAGCGTCGTTGTAAGATTGAAATGAGATTGTGCACCTAAGTGTTTGGCACTGCCTAACACACAGCGAGCACTTGATACAGCTCTAATCAGTTGTTGGTCAGAGAAGCTGTTCCCACCGAATTTCTCCTTCCTCCTTCCTTTTTCTAAAGCTTGTGACACCCTGCGGCCCAGGCCAGAGACCCCAAAGGCCTGACCACCTGACCCTCCAACCCCTTCCAAAATTAGCCCAAGGCAACATGGCAGACCTGGCTTTTGGGCTAGAAGTCTACAATGATATCGTGTCCTGCCTCTACACCAGCAAGGAGATACGTGTGGACCCCCAGGACTCTAAAGTGAGTGCTCAAAAAAGGGGAGTATGTAACTTTATTACTCTGTTTTTCACATGAAGAATCCAAGGCCCAGCTGACAGAAGTGCCTCTTTGGGGGACCTAGGTAAGTCACTTTCTCTCTCTGGACCTCTGCAGAGAACTCCTACTCAGCCTTCAGAACCCAGCATAGAAGTCCCTTCTCTAGGAAGACTTCCTTGAACACCCAGGTCCCTTTACTGTTTCTCTCTTCATAACACTTATCCATTCACTCATACCAGAAATATTATTGAAAGCCTACTATGTGCTGGGCCCTGTGCAGTGCACCCAGGGTCCCTATCCTTGCAGAGCTCAAAGTCAAGTGGGAGAATAGAAACTGAATAGGAAAACAGTCAGATAAATAAAATAATTTATCTTATTTATAATAAGAGCACTGGATCAGCGACTAGTGGAAATGACAGGGCTATCCAGGATGCTGTAGTCAGTAAAGATATCTCTGAGGAGGTGGCCTGAATGGTGACAAGGAGGCATACACATAGAGATCTGCATTAAGAGTGAATTCCCAGGATCAGTGAGATCAAATGAGGGAGCGATCCAGATATAGCACTGCTTAAAAGCCCCTAGTACATCCTCAGCACACTCTGAATAAAACCCAGTCTCCTGTCTGCAGCTCCCAGCCCACTTCTCCAGCCCTATTCCCTTACCTACTCCACTCCAGCTATATCAGCTGAGCTAGCGCCCACCTCAGGGCCTTTGCACATGCTGGCCTCTCTGCCTGGAACATTCTTCTTTCCACTGTTGACCTCAGTGCAGATGTCATCTCCTCACAGAGCCCCTCCTTGACCACCACATCTAAATATCCAAAATAGGCCTTCCCCTCCCTCCCCCGACTTCTCTCTCTGTTCTTTTCCCTTCAAAGCACTGATCACACTGAGCATGTGCATGAGTAAAGTTATAGATGCAAAGTCATATGTTTACAAATACACACACGTCTGTATATTTGTGCTTACTTATTTAACTTCGTGTGTGCTCTGCCTCCCCCATTTTGAGGACATGGACTACAGATGGTGAGCTATGTCTGCAGCACACAGTGGGGGATCTGTAAACACTGAAACACGAAATCCTAAGATCTAGAAGAGATCTAATGTTATTGCTCCATTTTTTACATGAGGAAACCAAGGCCCAGAGAGGGAAAGTGACTTGCCCAAGATGACCCAGCAGTGGTATCAGGAGTCGTGCCAGTGTCCCCATGCTGGGGAGACACTTGTAAGTGAGCACTCAGACAGCTGTAGGTGAGCACTGTAATTCCATGCCTGCGGAAAGTCTTACACCAGTGGGCAAGGGTATATATGCAAGGGTGCCCTTTGTAGCTTCACATGGGATAGGGTGAAAAATAAAGCTAAGCTAGGTGTCTGTCAATAAAAAATTGGTAAAAGGAGTCCAGTCATGGTCATACATGGTGGAATACTATGCAGCTGTTAAAAAGAATGGGGTTGGTGGAATGCAAACTGGGGCAGCCACTATGGAAAACAATATGGAGGTTCTTCAAAAAATTAAAAATAGAATGACCCAGCAACTGTACTACTAGGCATTTATCCAAAGGACACAGTATGCTGTTTTGAAGGGACACATGCACCCCAATGCTTATAGCAGCACTATCGACAATAGCCAAAGTATGGAAGGAGCCCAAGTGTCCACTGACAGATGAATGGATAAAGAAAATGTGGTTTACGTAAACAATGGAAGATTATTCGCCAATCAAAAAGAATGAAATCTTGCCATTTGCAACTACATGGATGGAACTGGAGGGTATTGTGCTAAGCGAAATTTATCAGTCAGAGAAAGACAAATATCATATGACTTCACCCATGTGTAGAATTGAAGATACAAAACAAGGGTGCCTGGGTGGCTCAGTCAGTTGAGCATCCAGCTTCGGCTCAGGTCATGATCTCACAGTTCGTGGGTTCGAACCCCACATCGGGCTCTGTGCTGACAACCAGCTCAGAGCCTGGAGCCTGCTTCAGATTGTGTCTCCCTTTCTCTCTGACCATCCCCTGCTCATGCTGTCTCTCTGTCTCAGAAACAAATAAATTAAAAAAAAAAAAAACATAAGATATAAAACAGATGAACATAAGGAAAAGAAAAGCAAAAATAATATAAAACGAGGGAGGGGGACAAAACATAAGAGACTCAAATACAGAGAACTGAGGATTGCTGGAGGGGTTGTAGGTGGGGGGTTGGGCTAAATGGGTAAGGGGCATTGAGGAAGACACTTATTGGGATGAGCACTGCGTGTTTTACATAGGGGATTTTATGTACACTGGACACCCCTCTACACTGGATTCTACTCCTGAAATCATTATTGCACTCTATGCTAACTAACTTGGATGTAAATTAAAAAATAAAAATATAAATAAAGAATTCAGGGGGAAAAAGAATGGGATTGGTTCTGTATGTACTGATATTGAGAGAAAAAAAAAGATGCAGAATCGTGTAGTGAGAATGTTCCCTTCTATGCATGTTCATATGTGTGTAGGAAACAGGATATCCTCCCAAATGCCAGCAGTGGTTATCCTGGAAAACAGGATTTGGAGGAAAAGGGGAAGAGGTGTTGGCGTAGACTTGTACCTTTTACTTACACATTTTTGTACTGCTTTCTATCATGATTTGTGATTTTCAGGAACCAGTGGAGTATGGCTAGATGGACAGAAATGTAATGAAGCAGGTATAGCAACGTGTTAACTGAAGAATCTAGGTGATGAGGAACAAATGTTCCTAAGAAATTCTTTCAATTTTACTGCACGTGCAGAAATTTTCACAGTAAAACACTAGGGAGAATCACTGAAACAATAAAAAGTTCATCTTTCCAGATAAATCATGGTGAGAAACCAGGTGAATGGTCCCTCCGATGCTGACATCAACTACGTGCACATAGTGCATTCAGTTGGAAGCAATTACACCTCACGGAACCCCAACGACACCCCCGGAGCTGCTCAGAACAGAGCTACAGGATCTAAAGGCCAACGTGTGCTTTGCCCTTTTTCCAGGCTGCTGACCTCATTCAACTGTTGTCCCTGAGAGAACTGGAGCCAGGGGCCCAGGTGGGTATGTCGGCAGCTTCCCTCCCACACCAGGGCCAGGATCTCAGGAAAGAGTCTGGGATGGGGGCAGGACTGGGCCCCATAAGCATGTTCCATTTGGCGAGTTTCCTACTGTGGACTCCAAAAACCACGGCTTCTATTCCACTGGTGTTGTGAGGGCTGGGGGGCACTTAGCTCACCGCCCCTCCCCGGTGCCCACGGCCCAGAGGCTGGCATCATCACTCACTACTGAACCCCTGACCCTGCTACAGCAGACCTACTGAGGCAGGCGGATGTACCCACGAGAGACAACCATGAGCAGTGACTTGGGTCAGGCCCCTGCCCCTGCATCAACATAACACAGATGCCCCATACTTCACCCCATTGTCATAGGTGAGCAAACTGAGGCGCAGTAAGGTGAATCCAGTTGCTCAAGCTCCTATTGCTCAGTCAGTGGCAGAAGCAGGATTTGAAACCAGTCCTGGACTCCAAAATCCACGCTCAGCGTCCTCTCCCCAAAGGCTATTAGAATATGGCATCTGACGAACCAACAACAATAGAGAACAACAGCATTACTAGGTGCTGGGATCTATTCTAAGCACTCCCCATGAATGAATTCATCTAATCCCCACAACAACCTTAGGGAGTAGGAACGAGTATCCTCACTTAACAAGTATGAAAACAGACAGATTAAGAGACTTGTCTCAGGCCACACAGCTTACAAGTGATGGAGCTGGGAAATTTGCTCCAACATCTGTGTTCTTACCTGTGATGCATGCCCAAGAAAAGGAAGAAGTGATCTCACCTTAAGGGAGCTCAGGGAGGTTAAGTAAACTTCCCAAGGTCAAGGTCAATGCAGCAAGCTGCTGCATAGCTAGAGTGAAAATTCAGACAGCCAGGCTTCTAAGATGATCTTGTTCCCGTTCCTCAAAGCTGGGAACTGAGGAACTCCATCCTCTGTACCTGCCTGCACCTTTTCTGCTTTAACTTCATTCAGACTTCTAAGAAGTCCAGAGGAAATGTGAGACTGACCATCAGTACCCCCGACCCTCCCATCGTCCGCATTGATGGCCACACAGCCACCGTCACCCAGCCGGGCTCACTGGTCCTACTGGGGTCCAGCAACACCTCCTCTGTCTCAGTGTCCTGGGTGAGTAAGCCTTGAACTTCTTTGCTTCTCAGGGAGCCTGGGTCCACTTGGGGGGAGCGGCCCCTCCAGGGCTGGCTGGCTAAGGCAGCTGCAAAACTCACCACCATGTCACTTGCTAATATTCAATCAGTCCACACCCAAATAGCTGCACCTGTTGTCAAAACATTAAAATTAACACCTGCTCCCCCATGTGGCTTCCATTACTCCCCAAGGACCTCCTTAACAACTAAAGGGTATTGCCTCTGACACCTTCTGCTCAGTGCCTTGTGGATTGTTAAGTCTTCTGTCTTCCCTGGACATGCTGCATCAAAAGCCCTTGTCTGCAAAACCAGAAGAAAGACCAGAAAAACAGTTCACAAGGGGCTAAACCTATCTGTGTTGTTTACTCTATTTCTGGGGAAACACAGCTTCCCCCCAAGTCTCAACTTCTCTGCTCTGAGCCCCCTTGGTATTCCTATTTCCCATTCCACAGACCTTAAAATTGGGAAGGTACCTCAGATAAGGAGGGGAGGGGGGCCGCTCCCCCACAGACGAGCCCAGCAGCATCCAGCACATACACAGGATCCTAGGATCTTAGTTGGCATTACTCTATGGTCAAGAAATCGGTCACCTCTGACTGGTGGTGAGAAGTCCTATTTCTAGTCTATAAGGTGACAGTGTGACTTATGAAGGCCAGTACACAACCTCCTCAAAACCAAGGAGTCCTCTGGCTTTCAGCAACAGTGACTCTACAGCCTAATGACTCATTGCAAAAGGCTCTCCCTTCACTGGGCTGAGCCTCCCCGTGTCGTGCCCAGCCCCAACCTCCCCTGGCCCCCAGGAGCCCCTGGCAACAGGAGTGTCCTCTCCCACAGCACCACCCACACACATGGCCTGAACACACACGACCGGCAGCTGGGGTAGCAGGGAGAGGACCGGTGCGAGGGCCCAGCCCTGAGCAAGCATTCACGGGAGTCGGGGTGAAGGGTATCCCTCTGGCTGGAACGTAAATCCCTCTCCTCTTCTGACCTAATTTCAATTCCTCCAGAATCTCCTTTCAAAGGCTGTGTTTTCCTTGAGAAATCAGGAATTAAAACTCCAGTTCTCTCTAAGCAGGTAATGCTTTTTGGTTTTGCATGTTCAAAAGAAATAAGATGACTGACAGAGAAATAGGCAGGGGGTGGGGGGTGGTCAAGGGGTATGTTTCCATGCCTGCTGTCAGCACACAGAATAGTGGATAAGAGGGAAAGAGGAGAAGAGGGAGGGGTGTTGTAACTGAAGCCCACTGACCACTGCACCCCAGAAGCTGCTGTGGTAACTGGAGCCCACTGACCACTGCTCCCCAGCAGCTGCCGTGATCTAAAAGGGTGATCTCTTCTCTCTGGTAGCACCACAGTCATGCTGGGCCCTTACCCAGCCGGCCTCACAAAGCAGGTGAGTCTCTCTAAAACATTGACCTCTCCATGGTCCTGAAGGACCCACCCTCACTCACTTTCTATCACTGATCTCATCTTGCCCTGAGGTCCTGATACCCTGGGGTCGGGGGAGCCCCCAGAACTTAAACGTGTCCACTTCATTTTTTCATACACTTAACAAGTACCTATGAGCACCTACGATGTGCTCAGACTTGTCTTAGGTACTTGGGATATATCAGTGAACAAAACAAAGGACCCTGCCCTTGTGGAACCCACATTCTAGCAGGGTGAGGTCAGATAAGAAGCAATAAGCACAGTACAGTAAATATATAGTATTTAGCAGGTGACCACACTATGAAAAAGAAAAAGTAGAGGAGGGGACATGGATCAAGAGTGCAGGTGAGGATAATACTGAAAGGGAAGGTTAGCGAAGGCCTCATTGAGAAGGTAAGTGTTTGGGAAATAACTAGAGGAGGTGAGGGAGATTGCTGTGGAGCCATGGGGAAGAGGGGACCCCAGACCCCAAGACATGGGTATGCCCATGGTTCAGGGAACAGCAAGGGGGCCAGGGTAGCTGGATCAGAGGGATTGAGGGAGGCTGCAGAGTGAGCAGGGCCTACTAGGGGGAGGCTGGCTCTGGCTGAGAGAAAAGCTGATGGAACATGGAAGGAGCAGTCTGGAGGGGGCTGGGTGGAGGCAGGGAGGCCACTGAGCAGGCTGGGAGAACCATGCAGAGGCTTGATGAGGCTTGGACGGATGGTAGCAGGTGGCAGCCAGGGGAGTGGCTGGGTGTGGGACACACCCCTGACAGGATTTCCTGCTGGAGTAGATGTGGGAAAGGAATGAGAGAGGTATCCAGAATGATGCCCAGAGCTTTAGGGCAACTCCTTCTCTGCAGGTTGAAAATAGCCTCCTCTGAGAGAATGTTCTGTCTGCACCCCCAGCAGGGCTGTGTGTCTCCTCTCTGGATGTCCACTCCCCTGGCCTTCCCAGCATAGCGTCCTGAGCCACCTGTGCCACCTGGATCCCCATGCAGCAGTGAGGGGTTTCGGCCGTAGTGTGATGCATCTGGGCCACCCCCCACCCAGCCTTGGGGCACTGGTTCCACCATCCTTTGCTTCCACAGGACTGCGAACCTTGTGCACTAGCCCTCAATGGGGAAAGGCTGCAAGACGGAAAAACAGCAAAATGAAAGGGCTGAACATGTAGTGGGAAACACTTCAAAATTATCAGTCCTGCTATATCAGGCCTTGCTCTCGCCTTACTTGCATAGAATCCCAGCCTTGAAATGTCCTGAAGATCATCTTCCCAGGTCAGGGATCCCTTCTGTGACATCATCAGAGGGTAGTTATCCAGCCAGGGCCGCTGTGTATGGTTGCACAGGTTGTGCAGTGCACAAGCCACCCACAGCATAGATGATTATGAATATGTTAATACAGTGTCCCAACACATGGGAAAAGAGTCTTAAAGAAAGGGAGTCCTTTTCCAGTCTCTCCAAATGGGTGGGAGCAACTCTGATCAACCTCTTGAGCCGCATGAACATCCCTGGGAGGTTTGTTATCTCGGTGAGACAATTCCTGCCCCATCACCAGACAGGTCTCAGCAGTGGAGAGCTCCTCCTTGGGCTGACCCAAAATTGGTCCCTGTGAAGCTCTGGCTGTGGGTTTCCTCTGGCCCATCCTAGTTCCTCTTCCCCTGGGCTACCCTGCAGAGATATGAAGACAGTCCCTATGACCTAGGCTGAGGGTCTTTTTCAGGCCCCTCCACTTTGCTCAGGCCCGTCACTATCTGGTCGTCTGGCCCCGATGCCCTTTAAAAATGGAGTCCCCGGGACACTCCTGATCTCTGGTGGGCACCTGCACACTGGACGTGCCCCGTTCCCATGGTCAGAATCTGCCAACCCAGACAAAGAGACTTTCCTGTTCCTTTTTCATCTGTTGTAGGAAAAACGTACGGAGGCCCTTCTCTTAGAACTTCTGAACACGGTATTTTTGCCCCAACACAATGGTGAGTTCCCGGTGTTTCTCCTCACGCCCACATACCACGCAGCATCCCCTGTGTCTACAACTCTGCACAGACAGCTGGCTTCTGCCTTGTTCCCTGGAGTTGGCTAAGAACTGCCCGTGGGCAAGGCAGATGGAGGCAGGGTAGAGACTGAAATTTGGAGTGTGGCAGGTAGGGGGTGGGCAAGGGCCTGTGTGTGCTTCCCCCTCCCCCCCAATTCTCTGACCTGGCAAGGTGGGAGGCAGGGGAGGTGGGAGTTGGCATCATGGAAAGTGAGAACAAGAAGGGCCCTCAGCCACGGCAGAGCCCACGGCCCACAATTCCAGTGCTTGTAGGGCCCAGGGAGATACCATTCCCACCGGAAGCAGCCCAGGAGGGACCGACAGCAAATATCTGCCCTGCCTTGAGCTGGCGCTTAACACTCAGCTCGGTCAAATGTTGCCTGCAGGATGGGTACTTTTTATTTTCAAGAGAGGCTGGAAAGTTGAACTTTTTGAGACATCACCCCTATGTTTAGCTATCAGCAACAAATTCAGACTTTCCTAAAACAGCACTTAGTTCGGGCCCCCTCAGAAGCAGACCCTAAGATAACAAAGTGCAGGTAGATCTTGCGGAGGTAACCCCAGGAAGTGGGAGGCGTGTGGGAAGTGAGTTCTACAGGGGTGCAAACCCTAGCCAGCCTCCTCCGCTCCATGGAACTCACTGCTTTCCCCTGCCCCTGACAGTCTGTGTAACAATCACCTACCCACCCACATGATTATTTGGTCACTGCCTGTGTCCCTAAACAGATGGTAAGCTGCCCACAGGTAGGGACCCCTGTCTTTGTTTTTCACTGGGCCCTCTGCACCCTGTCCACTGTCTCCCACCCAGAAGACACTCTGGAAGTACATGCGAGGCAACCAGCTCAGACCTTACTCAGTTCTGAGAAATCACCCGGCTTAGGCTCCTTATCTTGCAGATGGGCTCAATGACATTAAATGACTCTCCCAAGGTCACACAGCAAGTCTCTGGCAGAGCTGAGCCCAGAACTCTGGCATTTTGTCTCCCTTCCAGCGGCTTCTTTCTATTCTCCACCTTGAGGAGTTATGTCAGAACTTCAGAGTGAGGCTAGAGGAGCTCAAATTCTGGCCGGGTTGAAGGGTTTCGCATCATTCTGTGACCCTTGATAGCCAGGGAAAGTTCTGGGCATAGAGTAAGTAAATCTGTGGTCAAGAAGGGGGACTGATTGGAGGCGAGGAACAGTGGTGATGAAAGGCCCAGCAAGGCAGGTAGAAAGAGAGTCCAGGTGGGCAAGGATGCAACCTGACCGGGCCAGCGCCTACCACTGGCAGGCCATTCAGTAAGCCTATCTTAGATCCAGGACCAAAGAGAGCTATGGCAAGCATCAAGAGATGACCCAGGATCTAAGTCTGGTTCAGGAAGCCTATAGAGTCTTGCAGAGTCTGAACACCCAGGCCTGTGGGTTACACAATGCCATGGGGTGCCATTCACACCGGGGTCCAAAGCTCCCTCACAAGGCAAAAAGGAGCAGGGCCGAAGCCACTGGGGAAATACAGGAGGACTGCCTGCAAGAAGCAGCCTCAGGATAAGAGAATTGGCAGAGGAGAGATTCACAAAAGCCTGTGCTGCAGTCAGGGTCATCTGATCCCAACACAGAAAGAGGACTGAAATAAGGAAGGGTCCAGAGGCTGGGAGCTGGGAGGCTGGTGAGAAGGCGTCTGCAGATCAGGGGAAAGGTAGGACACCAGAGGCACCTGTCCCTCTTCCTCCATCCTGCTCCCCACCTAACTGGCCTGAAAGACACATTGGGCCAGCAAGGGGGTGTGAGGGGGTATGAGGCCCTCCCCTGAGCCCAGAGTGATGATGGGGAGCTGGGGTGAGATAAGGGCTGGTCAGTGCAAAGGAGAGGGCAGGAGGGGCCTACGCCAGGCTCTCAAGGTCAGGAACCCAGAAACTCAATGGCCAAATGGTTAATTCTTTGAAACTCAATTGGGAAAATTCTCCAAGTTTCCCATTTACCAACTTACCAAAAACTTACTCTAAGGACTACCTTTCATATATTTGATAAATGAGTATACTCATTAATATTGTCTTTGGTATATTTAATGGATATTTTCTTATATAACCAAATCACTAGTGTTTTAAGGTTGATTTTTCAGTTTATACTGACTTGTTTCTAACCTTTTTCTGAGACATTTTCTGTTTCTGCCAACATTTTAGCATTTTTAGGAGCACCAACATGGTTTCAGTGATGTTCCTCAATTAAACAAAAATGAAATTAATACACTCCTAAGATGCCTTCAACAAACCTCACATTCCTTAAAATGCTGCTAAGAAGACTATCTTCATAAGAACATGTTCATAGTTATTGAATATAGTCTAGAAGAAATTCTCTCAAGATAGGTTTTTAATGAGTGGGTAGAATAGCTGTTTAGGGACCTGGTTTTCTGGACTGGGGTTGCCTGAGAGGGGATGGTGTCCCCTAAGGAAGGAGAGGAGAAAGGAGATGCACCAAGTCCCCCCACTGTTCTGGACAGTGGAGCAGCCAGGGGTCGTCTGGCCTGGCCCCACCTGCCCTTGCCCTGTACCCACGGACACCTCCACCTGCCAGGACACTGAGCCCCCCTTACCCATACCTCTCACAGAGCTGCTCAGAGAAGACCTCCCGCTGCCTAACATCAAGGGCATCTCCTTCGACCAGGCCCAAGTGGAGCTCTCCAAGGTAAATGCAGAGAAAAAGAGCTTCCTAAGACACCCGGGAGAGGTCAGAGCTAGCAGGGTCTTGAGCCCTACAGGTGGCTTGTCCCCATCCTGCAGGGGCAGAAGTTGAGGCTCATTACCTCCCTTATCTCACCATCTCACAGCCATCCTGGTGTGATGCCCCATATATAGACGGAGACACTGAAGCCCCATGGGGTTCCATGAATCCCTCAGGGAGTCAGGCCCTAGGCTTAACAACTAGTTCCATGAAGTCGATGCTATGATTTCCCCCATTTTACAAGAGAGGGGACTAAAGCTCAGAAGGGCAGAGAAACTTGCCCAGGGCAGGAGGGCCAGGGTTCCAACTGGGGTTTGTCTGATTTCAAAGCCTTTACCCTTAGTCAAGACCACCCGCCACCCTAGAGCTCAGGTGTCCTGACCCCCCAGAAAAGGGCTGCTGCCTCTGGTACCTGATCTCTGGGAACTGCCAGAGGGCGGGAACCCAGGCAGGCACCAAGCTAGCTAAATGCCAGGGAGGTAAGATGTGGCCAGAGACCAGAGGGCTGAGACAATGAGCCGAAGAACTAAGGAGGTGCTGCCAAGGGGTTTTGCCAGCTCTGAACCCGCCTCTGGGGTCTCCCTGCCTCCTTGGCCCTCATCCCTTCCCTCTGGGAGGTGAACCTGAGAAGAGGCAGATGGGCTTGGTAGGAAGGGGCAGACCTTATAGATGCCCTTCATTTCTTTGTTTCCCACCTTAGCAAGATTCCCACTCTTACACAGCGGTGTAGGAAGGGGCTTTAGGGGCAAAGCAGAGAGAGAATCACATGGAACCTCCTGGCCATGTGGCATCAGGCAAGCCACTGCCCCTCCCTCGGCCTGCTGTCTCTGTAAAATGGAGGTAAAGATACGCACTGGAAGTCAGGGTTTCCCTCAGAAACACAAGGAACTTTCAGGATCACTAATTTCACCCAGCCCCAGTCTGACCTTTGACAGAGCGTGACCCACCACCACAGACATAGTTTGAGCTTCAGGACCCATGTCCAATTCTGGACTCAGGATGCCTAATTCCCGGTCATAACATTCAGGAGACACTAGAAATCTGCTTTCAAGAACCAGATACAGGAGGGTAGGAGGGGACAGCAGCAGTTTGCCTCATAAAACCCCAGCTCCTGGCCTGTGCAACTTCCCCATCCTATCCTCAGACCCCTTCCCCTGGACCCCACCCAAGCCAGGGTGGCCCTGGTAGGAGGGGTCAGCCAGGATGACCCTAGGTCGAGGCTGAAAGACCTACTTCAAGTAATACACAGGCTGGAGCTGCTCCAGAAACGATGCCACAACTCTGGGCAAGGTGGGCCAGGACAGCAGGGGCCCCTCTATAGTTCTGAATGCCAAAAGTGGTTGCAAAGTCCAGACACAGCCCTAGCAGCTCTCACATAACCAGACCTGTGGAGGCAAGACGGGGGGCGGGGTGGGGGGGAGGAGTGGGCTTGTGGGCTCCCTTGTCGATTCGCTTCTAGGCTGCCTCACACTGTTGTGTCAGTTACATATTACACAACTCCAAGATGCATCACTCACATAGCACCTGGAGTGGGACAGTGCACAATCTGCCATCCTTACATGGCTGCCCTGATCGCTCCCTCATTCATTCACTATCACTAATTCATTCCATTAATATACATCACTGGCTGCTCTGTGCCTGGCCATGTGCTGGATGATGCCGGGACAAAGACAGAAGTCAGACCCATCCCTGAAACCTTCAGGATTTCCCCTTCTGGTGGAAAAACAGATGCAGGAGCAGATGGCTTCCAGCAGCATGGGTTGGGCACAGTGGGTGGGAACTTGTGGAAGGCTCTAGATGGATGAGAGACCCACCTCAGGGCAACCAGCAGGATGAACCCCAATGCATCAGAAACATTAGAGGCATCTTGATACACAAGTTTTCAAGAAGAGCTCCAAAGAGTGATCTGTTCCTTCCTTCACAAACATTCCCAAGACCCTCTGTCCCCTCTGCTCTAACCCCTTGTCCAGTCTGTCCCTGACTCTGCTTCTTGCCAACAGGGAAAGTTGTATCCTTAGGATACACAGAACCCCTTTCAAGATAGCGTGAGCCGGGTTCAGGGGGAGCCGGGCAGTGAGGACTGATGGGACACACCTCCCTGCTTCTACCCACAGGGGTATATGCTGGTGACTGTTCCAGAGGAATAGCCAGTTCTCACCTAGGGCTAGCCCCCGGCCTCAGCCACAAGTGCTCTGGACCCCTGAGAGTCCAAGAATGGCTACTGTCACAACGGAGAATCTCAGTTGCAATAAAGATGATTCTTGCTTGAGAAGGAGTCTGGTTCTGAGTTTGCTAAGGGGTTCTGGGAGATGACAGGGCCACCCTGAAATGATTCAAGGAAAAGTTTTTCTCCCTGATATTTCCTGGGTCCCCTTGGCCCCTGAGAGAGACATTCTGAGTTCTGTATTCAGCATCTCAGGGAAGAGAGGCTCGTCAGAAAACAGAGAGAGGTCTGAGCTTCAAGTGCCCAGGCCCTGAGATGATAGGACATAGAAAGAACAGAGGGAGCTTTCACATACAAGGGTCCCCTGCTTGAGAGGGAAGAAGAGGAAGGAAGCAGAAGTTTTGATGTCCCTAAGAAAGGGGGGACTCAAGGAGCCCAGAGATATTTGGGAGGCCCTGAGTGTGGAGGCAAGGGGTTATGGGAAGCAGCCAGACTCCTCAAGGTAGAGCCAGGTCCAGGTGGGTGATTATGATACAGCCACACCACAGAGCTCCCCTGGCCCTGAAAGGTATGACAGGCAGGAGAGTGGCTGACAAGAGGAGAGCCATCAAGGGAGAGAACGAGAAGCAGCCCTCCCCACCAACATCCAGTCCCATGTGGCCCAAGCAGGGCAGGGCAGTGAGCAGAGAAAGCCTGGGTACCAGAGGCCTTCGCAATCAGAAATGTGAATACCTCCATGGTCGCCAAGAGTGACAATCTCACACCTGGGTGCCTGCCAAAGCCCATGGCGAGTTAAGCCTGTGCCAGACAAAGGCAGATGAGGAGAAACCTTGGATTGTGATAAAATCCCCATCATGGGCAGGATGGAGGCTCCTAACAGTCTCTGTCTTGGGAGGGAACAAGTGATCCGCAGCCCAGTAGCCCCAGCTGGCCTCTGGAAACTGGATGGCAGGTGGGGAGGTCCTCCAGGAGGCCACTTCTCCACCTGCGGCCCGAACCACTGAGCAGGCCTCATGGGTCTGGTGCAGGATCCCTATCCTGTGGTAGGAGGTTGGAGCCCAGACCAAACCTTGCTGGGGGTTCCTTACTTGACTCCCCACCTGTTTTGCAAATATGAACCATAAGCCCAGCCTTGAAGGAAGTAAGTCTCCCAAAAGCATCCCCCACAGAAGTCCTTGGGCAAGATGGCAGGAGGGTCCTGTACTTTGGCCTTGCAAAGTCTCCCAGCCCTTGGTGGATATATGATAACCTAAGATAAGGTGGAGGCTGGGAGACACTTTCTCAGAGGAGAGTTGAATCCTAAGCCCAGAATTTTCCCACCTGTGTGTGAGCACACTGCCTGGTGCATGGTAGATACACTGCAGGTACAAAATGATGGAATGGAGACGTCCTTAGGACCTTGGAGAACGCTGGGCAAGCCTTGGTCTGCTCCTCAGCAGGAAGGAGCGATCCAGGCATGAGAGGGCCTGTCCTACCTTGGAAGCCCCTTATTTTTCTCCTATGACTTTTACAGGTACATCTCACTTTACAGGCTGCAGGCACAGACAACTGTTATCCCATTAGATTTTTATGATCACACTGACTGGCACCAGACAGGGTGTGCAATTACCCACCTTTGCCCAGGCAGGGTTGCCCACACGACTTCTGCTGCTGGAAGTCAGCGAGCTGGCTCCAAAGACCACCATCCTACTCTCCACCCAGGTGGCCTCTCTTGCCCACACCTCCACCCCAAGCCTCTTAGCTCAGTTGGGGAGCAAGCAGCCCAAAACACCTCTCCCCAAGGGGCTCCTGGGTGGCTCAGTCAGTTAAGACTCCAACTTGATTTTGGCTCAGGTCATGTTCTCATGGTTCGTGAGACTGAGCGCCATGTCGTCAGGCTCTGGGCTGACCGTGGAGCCTGCTTGGGATTCTCTCTCTGCCTCTTCCATGCTCTCTGGCTCTCTCTCTTTCTCTCTCTCTTTCAAAATAAATAAATAAACTTAAAAAAAAAAAAACACCTCTCTTATCACCTGCTCTGGTGGACTAAAGTCTTTCCCAATGGCATCACTCTTGAAGGTCTTTTTTAAGGAAATATAATTTTTAGGAAGTAGTTTTCAAATTTTTTCAAGGCTAATGATCCGTTTCCTCAAATAAAATCCTACCTGACACACAAGACAGATGATAAGAGAGGTGCTCTGATTAGAATGAGGCTGGAGGCTAAAACTCTGCCCCTCTAGTTCCACCTTCTAAGCCCCACAGCAGGCACCTCTAAGGATCCTCTATGCTCCATGGAGTTACGGCCCTGAGTTACCCAGGAGGGAGGCCCCGGTGCACGGGCCATCAAAACACAAGGAGCAGAGCCCTACGGAACTGAACACAGGACGGATGGTTTTTGACAGCTAGGACAGTAACCTAAAGAATGGGGGGAGGAGCACCGGGCTGGCTCGGGCAGTTGAGCCTGCTGTTCCATGACTCTCCTCTAGATCTCAGGGTGCTGAGTTCGAGCTCCATGTTGGGTGTGGAGATTATTTAACAAAATGAACACAGGGAAATTCATCAGAAGAAAGAAAGGGGCCTAGAAGGAAAGGCACAGAAGGTTCACACTCTTCCCCACCCACAAAGAGGCAGCACTATCCCCAGGTGAGGGTTCTGCCTGCTCCACACCTAATGGAACACCCAGTCCAGTCCTGTTGTCCTACTTTGTAAATCGCTCTCAAATCCACCTGCAATACCACACTGGATAAGGCACCCACCATCTCTCACCTGGATTATTCCAACTGCCTTCTCTCTGGTCTCTCTGCTTCCACTCTGTGTCTCCAGACTAGACTCCACATAGCAGCCAGAAGAGACTTTTCAAAAGATAACCCGAATCACGCCCCTCCTTGGTTAAAACCCTCTAATGGCCTCCCATCCGATGCACAAGAAAATCCACCTTCTTCACCACAGCCCCCAGCCTCTGCCTCTGGTGGTCTCCAGTTATCTTCCCACTGGCCCCACCCCCCCCAGTCAGTCACACTGGCCTTGACTTGCTCCCCACCAGATTGCTCCCTACAACAGGCTTGTGCAAGCCATTCTCTCTCCCTCTTCACTCCACCCTGCATGGGATAGTTTCTCCTCATCCTTTAGATCAACTTAGAAATCACCTCACCTGAGAGGCCCTCCACCACTCCCATCTCAAACTTTCATTTCTTTCAAAACACTTAGTACAACTTGTCATTATTTTCTTCAATGGTCTATTTACTTGTTTTGGGTCTGTCTCTCTGACCATAAATTAGAGAGACCATGGCTCATTGATGCATTCTTGGGCTTGGTACATAATAGGTGCTTAATAAATATTTGAGGAATACATGAATGGGAGGAAGAAAGGAAAGAAGGAAGGGAGGAAAGGAGGGAAGGAGGGAGGAAGGAGGGAGGAAGGAAGGAGAGAATGAAAGGAAGGATGTGTGATAGAAGAATGAACTCATCAGTACTAATCCAGGCCCTGCTTCCATCTGAGGACGCACCACTGCTGGAAACCAGAGGGAAGGCAGGGCCAAGGACTTCAGATTTCTATCTGCATAAAGATATATTTCATGGAGAAATCATCCTTATGTGTTAGAGCAAAGAGCTCTTTCAGGTGATGACTTAGGCAAACAAAACCTAGTTTGAGATGTTATATGGAGTCAAACTGCTTTTTCTTCTAGTGTAAATTTATAATTTAGATATTTCACTAAGTGACACCCACCTTCCCCCCACAAGAAACCCAAATGCTGGAGTTTGGCAAGAGCAAGCCAAGTCTCTCACATGGACCAGAAATCCTGAAGATATTCATAGTCTTTGAAATGCATATGATAAATCCCCACTTCTGGAGATTTTATAAAATCATCAGAGATTCAGAGAAAGATTTAAGGGCAAGACTTGTTGCCAAACAGCATTGGTTTTATGATGAAAATTTGGGAACAAGCTACATGTCCAACAATAGAGAATTTATTTTTTTAGAACATTCTTAGTAAGAAATATTGCATAGTCATTAAACTATGCTTTTATTTTTTGTTATGTTTCTTTATTTTTTAGAGACATTAAGAGCATGAGTGGGGGACGGGCAGAGAGAGAGGGAGACAGAGGATCCAAAGAAGGCTCTGTGTTGAGAGGGCTTGAACTCACGAACCGTGAGATCATGACCAGAGTCAAAGTCGGATGCCAAGGAGCCCCTAAAGTCATGCTTTAAAAGAGCATTTGGTGTCAAAAGAATATGTTCACAAGAACATTTAGATCTCAGATTTGAAAATGTATACAGTAATTTGAAATGTTGGTTGTGATTTTCAGATGGCTTGAGTTGGTAGGATTGCAAATGATTTTTATTGTCTTTAATATCTTTTCCAAACATTTTATGGTGAACATGGTTGACTTTTATCATTAGGGGGAAAAAATGTTCATATTCACTCAATAAATAGGATATCAAGCATCTACTCTGTGTCATGTGAGCAAAACAAAGCAAGAATGGTTTCTGCCTCATGACGCTTGCGAGGGAGATGATGTTCAACAAAGACACATGACTACAAATTCCAGTGATGGCTAAGGAGAAAACTACAGGGGTTACTAGGAGAGATAACAGTGCAGGGGCAGACTGATTTCAATGAGGTGTCAGGGAAGGCTTCTTGGAGAAGACCTGCAAGATGAGTAAGTTAAGCAAAATGTGGAGGAAAGGGATCTAGGCCATGGGAACAGAATGTGCAAAGGTCCCAAGATGGGAACAAGCTAGGTATATCCAAGAAACTGAAAGAAAGCCAGTGTAGTTAAACAGATTAGCAAGAGGTGTTAGAGAGGCAGACAGGAGTCAAACCAGACAGAGGTAGACAGAACCAAAGCAGGGCCAAAAGTAAAGGTGTTACTCTGTGTGCAATGGTGAATTATTGATAAGTATTAAGCAAGAGAGCTATGTGATTTGAATTTTGTCATGTATTTTTAAGAAGAAAACAGACTGAACCAGAGCTTCAAAGCTGCAGACCCACAGAACTTTGGGGAAGAAATCCAGTGTCTGGTTTAACATGCAAAGTCAGAGGATGCATTCTGAGCCCATCCAAACTGACCACCCAAAGGAACCCACACCTCCCCAGTT